TATGATCCCTTGTTCAAGAAGGGAGATCGCAGGGAGTGCTTCAGTTATCGATGCCTTACCTTATAGACCCTCCCGAGTAAAGTCTGTGCAGAAAGAAATTACAAGAGCAGTGTGGCTTCCGGCCCTACCGCAGCATGTCTGACCATGTCGTGCGCCAAGCTGTTGGGTAGTTGTGGGAGTTTGCCCATCCTGTGTATGTGTCCTGAGCCTATGACCGAATCTCCGCAATGGTCTTTTGGCGTGCCTGCGGAAATATGGGATCAATGGCCAGTTGTTTTAAACCATCTAATCACTATGTGATGAGAGGAGTTGCAACATCGAGTAAATGACGTTAAGTTCACGCCTTTCAGCGTAGGCATTGGTCTACTCCGAGGCTGCGTCCTGTCCCCTCATATGTTTGTGTTGTACATGAATATAATCGTCAGGAGCTCCCATGGTAATGTATGTATCGGTGCAGGTGATGTAGAGACGATAGTGTTGCCGTTTGCTGACGACCTTGTTTTATTTTTAACTTCTGAAACTGATCTACAGTGCTGTCTGAAAACGGTCACTACCGAGTGCGATGTGGCCGATATGCATGTGAAGGCGTCTAAACGACAGGCCTAATACTTTTTCGTTCTGCTGCCCGTTGCTCTGTTCACACTTTAACTTAGAAGCATTGGAGCAGGTGGAGAAGTTCAAGTGTCTCGGGGTTGTGTTTGTTGGTGATGAAAAAATTGAACAGCCGACTGCCCGGTGGATTGGAGTGGCCAGCGGCGTTTTGTGCGAACTAACCCGAACCACTGTGACTAAAGCTGAGCTGATTCTGAAGACTAAGCTCTCGGTATTCGAATCGATTTCTATCCTCATGCTTACCCACGGTTATGAGTCGTGGACCATGACTAAAAAGCTTCGATCCCGGATAGAAGCGGCTGAAATGGGCTTTTGAGACGAGTCGCTAGCCTTACGCGTCTCGGTTTGGTCCCTAATACAGAGATGCGCGAGAGCCTTGGTGTAGAGCCACTGCTTCTTCAGATTAGGAAGTCACAGATGCGATGGTTTGGTCTTGTGTTGCGAATGCCTTCAGAAGTGAAGGCTGAGCAACTCTTTCTTGCCCAACCGACTGGCAGAAGGCCCATGGGAAGGCCAAGATTAACCGGGTGCAGATGTATAGAAGGAGTTATCTGCTGACGCTTAGACTCTGGCACATGATCGGGAGCGTTGTAATCACTGTCTGACGTGAGTGCTTTGCGGACCCCCTTAAAGGAGAAGCAGTTATGGAATGAGGAAGAGATGTAATGCATATATT